ATTTCAAAGAGCTTATCGAATTAGAACGTTTAAGAGATGACATGAATTGCGCACGATTTATAGAACTAGAAGATTTATATGATGCAAATGAAAGAGGAAGCTACAGCTGTGAAAGCTTTTGGGATTATGAAACAAGGAAATAGATAATATTTGTGGGATACTAACTTTTTTTTTTTACTAAAAATTTTTTTAATTTGACATTTTCTTTGTACATAAAACTGTCGGACTATATAGTTCCTTTATTAACATATAGAATTATAGAACAGTTTACATTCTTTTAGTATAGAGACTTCTCTTTAAGTCATAGATCTACCTATTTGGAACTGTATTATCATCAATTTAGAGCTAAACGACAAGTTTCTGGCTCTGTTTTGTCTTTTCTCGAGTAAGAGCGAATATTTATCCATATAGGTATAGTAACTTGGTTAGAATTTTAAATCTTATAAGTAGTATTATGTCCCTGGTGGGCGTCATAGGTTAATTTGTTTCAAATGCCATGTAATGACAAGTGAAATTTGTTCACTTTTTATTTTAACAGTTAATACATATACAACAAATAAAAAAAACCGCACTTAAATATACAGTCAGATCTCATTATAGTCACTCGCGTTATAGTCGCGACCTTGTTATAGAAACACTATTTTGCAGTTATAAAACATATAAACTTTGACTTTATATAGTCACAACTTACTAAATTTTTGTTTCCCAACCTGTGATTATATCGAGGTCTGACCGTATAGAAGAGCGGAAATTCGTCACAATGACTACATAAATTAATGCATTGCCTAAGAATGACAAAGAAAAAATATTTTCACGGTTTAGAACATGCGATGTTTATGATGGGTATATTATACAGGGGTATTTTGTATGGACATATTAAAGTGATGCAGAAATCAATATGTGGTGGTGTGAAAAATATCATGCAAAGCATCCCTGGTATTATCCCTGGTTAAAAAAATATGCCATGTAAAATACCCAGGTATTTAACTGGGAGTATTGAAGATGGGGATACTTTGGTCAGTGCACTACGGTAATTTTCCTCGAGTCCGATTGGATGTATTACATCCGTTAAAGTTTGAAGGAAATGTTATCCTGCTTAAACTAGTTAGTTTATGCTTAAAACCCTTGAAGCACTGTTTCAAAGATGCTTGAAGTTAGCATCTGCTTGAAGTTAAAGCCTGTCTAAATTATTAATTAATGCATGCAAGAAGATCTAATTTCAGAGCTAATCAAGCAAATAGTGTTTTAGCTAATTTTTTCAAAAAATCTACTTGCTTTTAGAATAAATCTTCTAGTTTGGATGTTGAATATCTTGAGAAGTTTCTAAAATAAAAAAAACTTGATCTCAAGAAAAACTATCTAAGTTATACCTACTTTTTGATATTTCACATCTTTCAAGTTTTATTAACAACAATCTACTTAGAGATAAAATTAGTTTTCAGAATAAATCTTTTGGTTTAGGTATTAAATATCTTAAGGAGTCTATCAAAAAAAAGAAACAAAACTTAACTCCAAAAAAAACCATCTAAATTATGCATAAACTTTATTGATAACAAGAGGTATGGTAATATAGCAAAGTGGTCAAGTTGTCATCCCCAAACAGTAGATCAAAAGTTTGAATTTTACCAGTAATGAAAATTTGAAAATTTTGCTTGTGTTATAGTTAACTATATTCAGTCGATTAGTTAGGATAGGATACCTGTAACTATGGTCATATCAGCAAGACTGGGAGGTCTGAGGTATTTATGCAACATATAAGTTACATGAAGGCATGCAAGTTGATGCAA